ACTTCAGATCTCTTACTGGAGGATTGTTTGGGTGCAAAGTACAGTCCTGCCACGAAACTGCGTTACGAACCATGAGGGACAGAACAAAATAAAATTGGTTTCAGAACTGCCTCCTGCACAGGGATTTATAGGCACAGAACTCTTCATCGACCTGCAATTGAAGCTCCTTTAGACTGAATTATCACTTATATCTGGATGAAGAGGAAAGCGCCAAATTACTGGAAATGTATAGAAAATAGCAGGCAGGCTAAGTCCTTAATCTCGCAAATATGAACAATGAAAAGCGAATTACTACTTCATTTGAACAGACACAATTTAAGAATTATGACCGATTTTCTTGCTGGCAATTGCAGGGTAATTAAGCACTTGTTAAACCTGAGACTACACCTTTTCCAATAGTACTTTCGAAAGTATCAGTTGGATTTTAGAAAGCATCAATTCGATTTTAGAAAGCGTCAATTCGATTTTAAAAGGTATCATATGGACTTTAGCATAGTCAAATGTTCTTTAGAAGATGTCAAAAATACTTTAGAATTATCAAATGTATTTTAGAAAGTAGCACTTAGATTTCAGAAAGCGTCAAATGTACTTTAGGTTAGTCAAATGTACTTCAGAAAGCAACAAATGTACTTTTGAAAACACCAAATGTTTTTTAGAAAAAATCAGATGAACTTTAGAAAGTGTCAAATGTACTTTCGAAAATATCAAAAGTACTTTCGACAATATCAAATCTACTTTCGACAATATCAAATCCACTTTAGAAAATATCTACTGTATGTAATATAACATAACCGAGTAACATTTAAAAAAAATGTAAAATGTAGAATAAATATTACGAGTATTTTAAATACTCACGTGTAGTCGTTAACAATGCAAGTTCAGGATAACTGCGCATTTTGCCTCGTCTCTATGAAGCGTCGAGCATTGAAAAGGTTACAGCCATGCAGACACCTATTTCATGCTGACTGTTTTGAAAATGTACCAACCGCAACAAGTTGTCCAATTTGTCGAAGCGATGTAACGGGTAAGCAATGCAAAGCAACTATTTTATTTAAAAAACTATTGCATTAATGAAAATGATTCAATTTCTTTCAGTTGCCGAATCAGTTGAGCGACGTGCCAACATAAAATACTCTGCTGAAGACAGGAAGCGAATTGTGGAGGCAGCCAATAAAGGCCTTGATTGGGTGCAGCTGGCGGAGTCTTTAAATGTAAAATATAAAACGGCTTACGTATGGGTATCTTCTGGCACTCCTCAAGCACTAAGGCGAGGCGGTACAAAAGAAAGAGCGCTGTCGGACAATGAAGTTGCAGTGATGGTCCAATGGATTGAGGAGGATGCCACTATGACACTCACAAAAATTCGTGAAAAAATTAAACAAACGTTTAGAAAAGATGTGTGCATTTCCAGCGTGGGAAACTATTTACAAGGACAACTTTTTACGATGAAGGGGATTCATAAGGAACCTCAATCAATGAATTCGCAGCTAAATAAGGAAAAGCGCCGCGAATACGTATGTACGTTGAATCAATATATTCAGGAAGGCAAGCAGATTTTATACATCGACGAGACAAATTTTAATTTATTTTGTCGGCGTTCACGAGGTCGTGCTAAGGTTGGAAAACGTGCGGTACAAGTTTTACCAGTGGCTAAAGGGCCAAACGTGCACCTTATTGGGGCCATTTCTGCGTCTGGTGTAGTCAAAATGACTACCAGAAGAGGATCCTTCAAGTCTGAGGACGCAAACGCTTGGCTCCGCTCCGTTTTAGATAGGTGGTGCGAAATGGGTAATCAGCTTACCGATGCCATTATTGTGTGCGACAACGCGCCATGCCATTCAAAGCTACACGAGGTATGTGCAGCGACCACTTTATTGCGGCTTGGACCATATTCTCCTATGCTTAACCCCATAGAGATAATATGGGGAAAATTAAGGCGAATGTAAAGTCAAATATACGGACTCCAGACGTGATTGGAGCGGGTGTTATTGAGCAAAGGTTGCAGTATTTAGAGGGCCTAATAAAAGACGCTGCCGCCGCTGTTAATGGTGGAGATTGCGCTAGATCGGTGCAGCACAGTACGTCGTTCCACGCTGCTGTAATTTCGCTTGACAATATGCCAGTTGGACAGTGAAAACTGTTCGTTACATTAGATCTTTATTGTAATATAAAACTTCAATAAAAACATTACTACAACCTATATACATGTCTTAATCTTAAAAAAAAATGTTAGGTGCAATATGAACAATTTAAAGGGAGACTTAGAATATGATTCTAAAGTACATTTGATATGTTCTAAAGTACATTTGATATCTTCGAAAGTATATTTGATGTTGTCGAAAGTATATTTGATATTGTCGAAAGTATTTTTGATATTTTCGAAAGTACATTTGACACTTTCTAAAGTACATTTGATACTTTATAATGTACATTTGCTTGCTTCAAAAGTACATTTGATGTTTTCTAAAGTACTTTTGACTAATCTAAAGTTTATTTGACGCTTTCTAAGATTGAAATGATGCTTTCTAAAGTACATTTAATAAATCTACAGTACATATGACGCCTTCTAAACAACATTTGACTATTCTAAAATCCATATGATACTTTCTAAAACCGAATTGACGCTTTCTAAAATCAAACTGATACTTTCCAAAGTACTATTGGAAAAGGTGTAGTGCAAATTGTGTCTCGAGTAACAGGATGCAGCAGAGCACATTGGGTAGCACGCTGAAGCCTAAAAACTTGGCCTCATAGGTTCACCGTAACGAAAAGTACTTGATTAACGTAGCATTTAG